TAGAGGAGGAATAGAAAGGAGAGGATAAGGATAAGACAGAGGAATAGGAAGATGAGGAGTTTGGGAGGATAAGTCCTAAGGATTATATATTGTATATGGATTTTTAGTCCCGGTTGGTGTTAAAATGCCCAGCCCCCTAACAGCCTCGTACAGAAAATGAACCGGGACAAAAGATCACCTTGGGCTGATAGAGTTTTAAACCGGGATAAAAAAATCATCTTTAGTCCCAATTTCTATTCAAACAGGGACTATTGTGGCTTTTGTCCAACCCATTAAAGATGGTTTCTCATTAGTGAATATATTTTGATTAAACTAGAAAATGAAACCTGTATCCTGGCCACATATGCTGATGATACTATCAACTTTTTTAGAGTATGATTTACAGAAAGCTAAAAATATAAAATTGATTTTAGCTACTTTTGAAAAATTATCTAGCTTGAAGATAAATTTTCACAAGAGTGAATTATTTTGCTTTGGCCAAGCAAAGAAATGTCATGAGCAATATTCAAATATTTTTGGGTGCAAACTAGGAGATTTTCATGTTATATATCTTGGCATTACTATGTATTTTAGAAAGCTTAGTAATAAAGATTGGTTAACAATTGAACAAAGAATTTAGAAAAAAACTTAGTAGTTGGAAGGGTAAACATATGTTTGTAGGTGGGAGATTGGTTTTGATTAACTCTGTGTTATCAAGTTTAGTTATGTTTATGATTTCGTGTTTTGAGATTCCAAAAGGGTTCTTCAAAAAAATGATTATTATAGATCCCATTTTTTTTGGCAAGGTGATGAACATAAAAAGAGAAATATAGATTGACGAGATGGGAAATTATTTGTCAGTCTAAATATCAAGGGGAACTTGGTGTTCATAATTTACAAATCCAAAACCAATGTTTTTTAAGTAAGTGGTTGTTTAAATTAATAAATAAATAAGGTGTGTGACAAGATATTTTGGAAAGGAAATATTTTGTACTAAATCTATAACTCAAGTCAAGAGGAAATAAGGGGATTCCCATTTTTTGTCGGGTTTGATGAAGGTTAAAAGTTCTTTTCTAAATATGGGTTTTTGGGTTATTAATAATGGTGAGCATGTTAGATCTGGGATGATAAGTGATTAGGTAATTCATCTTTAAAGGACAAATACCCATCTTTATATTCTATAGTTAGAAAGAAAAATACATCGATTGCAAGGGTTATGAGTGCTGTTTTAATGTATCTTTTATGAGAGCGTTAGTTGGTCAAAACTTGATTAGATGGCACAATTTGTGTGCTTCAATTGTGCATGTTAACTTAACAGAGGAGGATGATATATTTAGATGGAATCCTCGTCAAAGTGGTCAATTTTCAGTTCGAAGTATGTATTTGGCTCTAATTAATAATGGGTATATAGACAGAAATAAGTTTATTTGGAAACTTAAGCTGCCTCTTAAGATTAAGATTTTTATGTGGCTAAAAAATCTGGATTTCCTTGTCGCTTTAGAATTGGTGGTTCTTACTTGACGGTTGGCCGCCAAGATATATTGCCTTGGCGGTTTTTAGATTACCCTTGACAGTTTTTGGCCACAAAGAAAACTACGGATTCTTGTAGTATGTACATATTGGGCTTACTGGTGTCACCTTTGCTATACTAGCACTTCTCATTGGGGCCATCATTTTGGACATGAACTTAAGGTAAGATGTAGTACGGGCTCTTAGTTAAAACTAGTGGATACCCTATGCTTTGCTATGGGATGTGTGGATGAGTGCATGTTATTATTGATGTGAAAACACGGCAGCTTGGAAGATCTGCTTAACTCCAGTGCAGGTCCAAGGCTAGCCTGGAGTGTGTCAAGGGCATACCAACTGATTTGATCCTGCAATCAGCAAGAAAGAATAAAAACAGAACCAGTTGCCCGATAGTCGATCGGCCGATAGGCCGATAGCATATCATTGATGGTGTCAGCCGATAGAGTTAGACCAAATCGGCTATGGACTGGATATATCAAAAAATAATAAACTCTAAACACGCCCAATCGGCTATAACACTATCTATAGAGTTTAACAAATTGATTTAAAACAATATTATGAAAGTAGCCGATGTACTTATATTTAGAGCAAGAGAGATACCGTACTAGCTAATACTCTAGTACAAACTTATATAGACAAATTGATCCATATAAACATATCGAACATAAATCAAGCATGAAGGTGTAGAAATCTAGCCGATATGCTTATACAAAACAATCTATCTATGTAAATGGCGAATATACATGAAACATGGGATGAGACATGCATATTAGGTAAGATCGACTGAAAGCCCGATACTATCCTTATTATGCCTAATTGTAGGCTAGTTTGCATAGTTCTAAGCACGACTAGGGATGATGCATCTCAAAGTATGAAAAAAAACATGCAGTCTAGACAATCAAGCAATTATACACTTTTCAGGATGGTAGATGCCTTAGATAATCTAATCTAGCAAGATAATTTAATCGAACCCAGCATAAACCCTAAAGCGAGCAGTAGCTGATAGAGCTAAATTGAGAAGCTAATAATATATTAACTAAGACATATGATAGCAATGACTCACGATATCGAGCCTAACAAGTCTAAAACGGCATGTTAGCCCCAGTAGCACGAACCATTGAGACGAGTTACCTCTTACGAAGAACTCACCGGAAAACAAGAAAAGTAAAATGGGTGGCGATGCATTGAAGCTGTATTTGAGTTGCTCCCGTATTACAATGCTATGGGGTTCATATTTATACCCCGAGTATAAACTTAGTCCTTTATGGACGCACTACAACAAAAACCTTATATAAAGATACTTTTGTAAAGATGTTTTGCAAATTGCCTCTTAGATCAGGAGTTTCATATTGTAAAGACATTTTATAGAGGCACTTTTTAAATTGCCTAGAAAACTTTTACTATATAGACATTTTAGAAATATTTTTAGCACATTTATTAGATTTTATCTTGTAGAGACATTCTTTTGGCACTTTAAACTATGTCTGATATGTAAAGACATTTTCTTGAGACACTTTAAACTCTGTAAAGACACTTCTTAGAATAAAAATATATACTAAATGACTAAATATAAGTATCTCAAGGCAAAAACATACAAGTAATGACTTGTGGTTGAGTAAGTTATTGCCTTGAATATAAGAATGATTTGTGCAATTGATCATGAGTTCAAGGATTGGCAAACACAAGAGAAAATATTTTATTTTTTTACATTGGTTACATATGGTTGTGGTACAATTTAATGTCTCTATAAAATGACTCTACCATCTTATAGACATTTTATAAAATGCATTTTTGTTTGTAGAGACAATTCACCGTAAGGCACTTATTAGGCATATCTAAAAAAAATTAGGCATTTTTTAAAATACCTCTATAGTATCGTAAAGGCATTTGAAAAGTGTTTCTATATAGTACTAGAAAAATGTCTCTACAAAGCATTTTTCTCTGTAGTGACACGACTCAAACCTTACTAAAGTTAAGATACAAACAAGACCATATACGACGGTCTCTTACCAAATCTCTAACAAACCAACTCAATATCTTAATTAATAAATACAATTGCCTTAAACGAGCTCTATCTCTTATTGGCAATGACGGTTATCCCAATCTAGACCCATGCTGAGCCCAAGTCACTTCATATCGGCCGCATCGGCCATCGGCTTCATCAAGCTTCAACCAGCCTCGTACTCTGTTTCGGCCAATATGGTATCCAGTCGATGTGCAATCGGACTCCAAGTTCGGTTCGATTCAACACCAAATCCGCTTCGATTTTCTTCCTTCTTTTCCGAATCTGATGCCAAATTCCGTTGTTAACAGTTATACATTATAAGAATGGTAGATTTATATGTTTAAATAATGTGAAGATAATGATTTGACATTGCTTGCATATTGAGTTCTAAAAACATAACAAAACTGTAAATGATATATGATGTTTGCATGACATTTAAAATAATTGCTAGTGGGTAATGATGTGACATAATTGCGTATGATTTAAAATACTCTAGATAAGTAATTGCTAGTAAGTGAGCGATGTGACGCACTTACATGTTAAACTTTAGTAGGTAATGAGCATCTTATAGTAAGATAGAATATGTCACTTAGAGCAGGTACAAGAGCAGGCTATAAGCTAGTTATAAACATATTTTAAAGAGATAAAATAGGAGAGAGAAGAGCAGCGGGCTACAGATCTATAGTCAACTGCAGCACGGACTCCAAAACGTAATGTGTATATGATAGGTGGGACCAGGTATTAATAGTATAGTAAGCACTATTGTATGAATCGACTATTAAATTGGTTATAGATAAATTGGAGCTTGTAGTTGGCTATAGTATTAAACTTGCTCTTAGATAATACTCTTGCACTCATTGAGACAACGAGACGTTGTAGTCATTAATGTACCAATATTTTTTTATTATTATCGTTAGTTCTTTTTCTCTACAACATGCAGCAAACTTGTATCATGTATACTTGCATAGCAATGATATTTTCCTTTTCTCCCTTCTTTCTCTTTCACGTCATATATGATAATAGAGAGAGGACGCTAATAAACAATTAATGTTACATGTGCTAATGTTCAAAGGTGAGGAATAGAGCAGTCACATGAAAAGAAGGTATATATAAAGTTAACCAAAAGGTTGTCTTGAGGCACAGGCTAAGCCCATATAATTAATGGATGCATAAAAGATTAAAAAAACTGTAGTCTGCTTGATTTGGCAGAATAGGATCATTAAGAGTACTATAATGCGGCATATGTTGCCTCTAAAAATGCCACATTAGATTAAGTGATGAGATGGAGGAGAGAAGTAAGGAGAGAGATAATGAGCCACCATTAAATCAAGAAGCAACCTCCACACAAATAAGACTTAGGGAAAAAAGAATTTGGTGGGTGAGAGTTGACTGTGAGCTTCTTTCAAGTCTTTAAACTACAGGAAGAAAAGCATCGACAACCAATAAGACACAGAGAAATAAAAAAATTGATAATGGAGGAGGTTACAATAGAAGCAAATGAAGGCGTTGTACCTATTTTAGTTCTAACCATGCACTGGGGATTGTACAATACCAAAACAAAGAGAGGAGAAATAGCAAAGAGGCATGCAATCGATCTAGACTGTTTGGTGAAGACAAGATGGATATTTTCCGCGTCGTTGAGTCTATCCTTACGAAGATGTGCAGTGTGATTGACCAAGATTGGGAGCTGGGAGGCAAATTGAAGAATGATCTGATATGCATCAAGGAAGAAATGGGCATGATGAATGCCAGCATCGAGCAATGGGAGGGGAACATCCAAGGGCCGGTGCAGCAGCAATGGGTGCATCAGCTTCAAGACTTGGCGTATGATATCGAAGACTTCATTGATGGCCACCGGATTGGACCTCAAGAGCCGAATCACTTCATGCCTCGTGCTGCGCGCATGATTTTTGGGACGGATCGACGTCCTCAGCAAGTCCTGGACGTGAAGATCTTGAAGGAACGTGTGGCCATCTTACAGAAGTGGCAACAAACGTTTGGATCTACTCAAGCCGTCGGCGGTGCAGGCAACGGTAGCCCACCATCCGGTGGCTTCGGAGGCTGTGAGGCTGATGAGCAGCTTGTGGGCATCGACAACGCCAAAAGGGAGCTCCTATCGCTGCTATCGGCAGCCGAATCCCAGCCAGATCAGCAAAACAAGCTGAAGGTTATATCCATCCTGGGAAGTAACGGGATCGGAAAGACTACCCTCGCCCGAAGAGTGTACGACGAGGGCGATATCGTCGAGCAATTCCATCGCCGTGCTTGGGTTGCGTCCTGGGCGTGTGAAGACTCGGCTAGCCTCCTGAAGGAGATAGTCAGGCAACTTACAAGCGAGGAAGACGGTGCGCAGGGATCAACTAGTTCTACCGAGCAGGCCGGTGGTGCCGGTGCCCCCAATGTTCGAAATCTCCGACAAGATGTCGCGGCACACCTGCAATCTCACAGGTGAGCTTTTTACCAGAGCAATAGTTATTCGCCTACATATGCAAGCTAACATATGGAGATCTGATCTTTATCTATTACTTCTGGGCAAAATGTAAGTATTTGCTAGCTAGTTGTATACTAGTATCTTGATCTATAAACATAAGTAAAACGGTCGTTTATCTAAATGTAGACTTTTCTTCTTTCAAAACGAAAATGGACTCTGCATTTTAATGCTTAGATTAACAGGAAAACAAAAACTTTGAGGTGTACAATGATTTTTTATTTTGTATCTGAAAGTTTAGAATTGGAGCTGTAAAAACTACCGGTTTACAACAATAGTTTGGAAGCTTTGAGGTTGACAATCATATTTGACATTTGATTATTTAGACTGTTATTGAACCATATATATAGGACCTAAATCTTTTTTTTTACACAATCAAGCAAACTTCATGTTCATTTTTTTTAATCTTATGTTTTTGTATGTGAGTAATTTTACAGTTCTTAAGTATCTTAAGATATCTAAAATTTACACTAAGAATTTTGATGCCTTGAGATACCTAGTACTGCAGGTATCAAGTTCTACACTTGAAAAATATGGTACCTCATAATATCTTCTAAAGAACAGTAAAATTATCCTTTGTGCGTTGTGGAATATCCATTGATATATAGTTTTCCATGTCTGTTAGGTACTTAATTGTAATTGATGACCTGAAGAAAGTTAAAGTATGGTCAGATATAGCATCTGCATTTCCAGAAAATAACAAAGGCAGTAGAGTAATTGTTACTACAAGTATTCTGTCCATCGCTACTACATGTGCTTATGGCAGTTGGGTGTACAAAATGCAATGTCTTCAAAAGGATGATTCTGAAAATTTGTTCTGGAATGAGGTTTTCAAGGGTGCAAATAGAATACGTACACCTGACTTGGATAGAGGTTCAGTAACCATTATCGACAAATGTGATGGGCTGCCGCTTGCACTGGTTAGCGCAGCCAAATATTTGAATTGCAAGCGACATGCTCTTAGCGGGAGTGAGTGCAAAAAGGTTGGTCTCAATCTAGGTAATCACCTAGCAAGTGAAGGTTCTTTTTTTAAGGAAATTAAGAGAGTTCTTGCGGAATGCTACGACAGTCTACCTGACCATGGGCACAGGATGTGCTTGCTATCCATAAGCATGTTTCCGAGGGGCCACCGGATAAGGAGGAAAAGTCTGCTTCGCCGATGGTTAGCGGAAGGATTAGTGGTCAGCCAGATCCAGTTGAATGAGGAGGATGCAGAGGATCGTTTCAAGGAATTTATTGACCGGAACATAATTGAAGCAGTTGACATTGGCAACGAATTGGAAGCTAAGCACTGGCGAGTTCATGGTGTTATGCTGGAGTTCATTTCCCATAAGTCCATCTCCGATAACTTCATTACATTCATTGGAAACGACCGGTCCACAATGAGCAGTAATGGCCGTGTGTTACGTCGACTTTCCATTTACAATAGAACTGCTAAAGACACAACAACTGCAGAGAAAATGGAAGTTTCTCGTGAGGTCTCTGACAATACGCAATAGCAGCGTTCCGAACTTGAAAGAATACAAGTCACTGAGAGTACTGGATCTTGAAGAATGCAATGGCATCGATCAAAGGGTTGTCAAGAACCACATATGTGAGTTGCTCTTTCTGAAGTACCTGAGCCTCAGGGGCACTGGTGTTCGCCTTATTCCGAGCAAAATAAAAAGGCTACGGTATTTGGAGACGCTAGACCTGCGGGAGACAGAAGTGGAAATGTTGCCCCTGGAGGTCCTTAAGCTGCCACGTTTGGCCCACCTGTTTGGTAGTAAGCTCGAGATGCCTCAGGAGCTCTCTAACGATGCAGACCTCGACCTGCAGAGGTTTTTCCAACACGAATCTGAACTGCAGGTTCTGGCAGGGTTTGTCATGGAGGATAACAAGGCGTTTGTACATGTGATTCGTCACATGAGCAAGCTTAAAAAGGTCAAGATATGGCGCAAAGCCAACGCTGCTCCTGCCAAGGACCTAACTGAACATTTAGTCGTCTGCATTCAGAGGCGTTTACAGGGCAGCAGACCCCTTGAATCCTTGTCAATTGACTTCGGCGATCTCTCCATAGACTTCCTTGGTGATCTGGCGCCGCCCTGTGCCCTCGAGTCCCTCAAGTTGCGAGGGGCTATGAGCAGCTTGCCTGCCTTCTTCACATCACCGGAGAATCAACTAAGGGAGCTGCACCTTTGGTCAACTGGATTGAGCGGGGAAGCCCTCTCTGCCCTACAAAACCTGCCTTACCTTGTCTATCTGACGCTAAAAGAGGACCGTCGTGGATTTTGGAGCGACACCTTTGCTGTGCAGAGCGGCGGATTCCCAAGTCTTCGGCGGCTGCGCTTTCAGGCCGCCATGCTTCCAAAAGTAGTATTCGAACAAGGATCCATGCCCGATCTCGCCGATCTTCACCTGCTTTGTCCAGAAATTTGCAGCTCCATTTTTTTCTATCGTTCTTTCGATATGCCAAGGAATCTAAGGCTTGGTGTTTGGCACATCGAAAACCTCGTCAGTCTTAACGACGTGGTACTCCATCATTCTGCTAGTGAGCAACAATTGACGGCTTGGAAAGATGCAGCAAGCGCACACAAGAACAGGCCCAATGTGAGGAGGCAACCGCAATAAGGGCATTCCTAGATATTTGCTACTTTCTCTGTTTCACTTTAATACGTTTTGGGTTTTGAATACGTTTATTCATGGATCCATATATATATATGTGTTTCATATATGTATTCAAATTAATATGGATGTTAGGGAATATAGACGAGGGATGGAAATGTCAAAATGTGTGAAACCAATCGTGGTTTTGGTTTATTTGTGATGGAAAATTGGCAGACATTGAAAGTCTTATGAGATTTCTGTGAAAATTTTGGTTTGAAATGTTGGCGATTGTCGGCATGAGTGAGTGCAACTAACGTGGGTTAGGTTGTGATTTTTTGTGCCCAGAAGAGGTTTGCTTGGTCTATGTGGGTGCAGGTGATTAAAGTCAACCTTAGTGGATAGCGAGGACCAGGAAGGAGTAGATGTCTATGTTGGGATACGCGTAGGCTACGATAGCATAAATCAAAATTTTCTATCGCGTAAATTAGGAACCATGCAAGTATTAGATCATAGATCGTTACCACTCGACGCGCTGCGCGGCGGAAGAAAACGCTGAGAAGTCGAAGGAACTCTCGCGAAGTAGCGCGCGTCGATGTAGATGAAGTAGTCGATCGCACCCGCTCGACCTTCTCCTCCTCGTGCATTCTCCTCGCCGTACTCCCACACCGATCAGCACCGCAAACCAGCGGCGCCTCTACCGGTATCCACACGTACAGGGACGGAACGCCACGCGCAAATGTGCTAGCACCCGCGCGCAGCTAGGGTTTTGCTCGAGGAGGGAAGTGACGGCTAGGGTTTCTCACGTGATGCAATGCCTCCGCCGGTCACACCCCTCACGAATATATAGGATCCATCACTCGGGCCTCCAAGGCCCGTAGGACTCCTATTCGGATCCCTATCCGAATTAAGCTCATATTGGATCTCTATCCAATCCCCTTATTCCGACCCATTAAGCGTGCGACCCTGTAGGTTCATATATACTCGATCGGCTGTAACCCGAAAACTCCTTTTCGGTCCACGCGTCAACAGCGGCCCCTAGCAGAATGTATTGACCCACCGGGCATACATAAAGATCATATCGGTTGAACCTCTAGTGTATACTTGTATGAACCCCTTTGCTTCACGATATCGATTAAGCTCAAGGCTAGATATGTGCCATCCTCTAATAGCTCAATCATTCACTCGAACCTGTTGATAGATTATATAACTTATGATTGGCTCATCAATCACCTTTGGCATGGCCATGCACTTCCATAATCTACAACATCGAGGGGCCCAGAGATATCTCTCCATAGGAGGGGCAAATCCCATCTTGATTATTCATATCCCACTACATGTTTCATAGCATACCCGAAAACTACTTTTATAACTACCCAATTACGGAGTAGCGTTTAGCCACTGGTGGAGAAAGGGTTTTTACTCCCGGTTCGTAACCCCCCTGTAGTCCCGGTTTTTCAACCGGGACTACGAATCCGGGACTAAAGATCTTTAGTCCCGGGTGAAAAAACCGGGAGTAAAAATCCATTTTTAGTCCCAGTTGGTGTTACCAACCGGGACTAAAAAGACTAGATCCGGTTGCTCTTTATTATTTTCTTTTCTTCATTGTTTTTAATCAAAATCACAAATCAATCCCGTCCCCAAAATCACAAATCAATCATTCTTAAATTGCTTCCAAATCCACAATCGATCATCTCAAATACTCAAATACATCACAAAATTTCAAAAAAAATTACATCACAACTTCTACAAAATTATCAAATATTCACATCACACACAAATCAAATACATCACACAACAATCAGATCCAATCAAATACATCACACAACAATCTCAGATTCTTAAAAAAAAATATCCGCCGCCTCGCCGCGCGCCGCCGCCTCGCCGGCCGGCCGGCCCTCCGCGCCCCGCCGCCCTCGCACCGGCCGCCGCTGTAGGCTGCCAGCCGCCGCCGTGCCGGCTGGCCAGCCTGTCGCGCCCCGCCGCCGCGCGGCTGCCGGCCGCCGCCTCACTGCGCGCCACGCCGGCCGGGCCTCCGCGCCCGACCGCCCTCGGTCTGTTAGAGAGAAGGAGAGGAGAAGGAGAGGAAGATAAGGTTGAGGAGATAAGGTTGAGGAGAGGAAGAGATAAGGTTGAGGAGAGGAGGAGAGAGGAGTTAAAAGAGAGAAGGAAATATCTCGATCCGATCGCGCATGCCTATCCGATCTCCGCGTCGATCTTTTTTCCCGGTTGGTAACACCAACTGGAAGTAAAGCGTATGGCGATCTTTTTTCCCGGTTGGTAACACCATCCGGGACTATAAATAGATCTTTAGTCCCGGTTGGTGTTACCAACCGGGACTAAGGATTGAAAAGTAGCATGGAGCTTTCAAACCAGGACTAAAGATGTTTTTAGTCCCGGTTTTTAATACAACCGAGACTATTGTGAAATCTGGTCGACCGACCAAAGATGGTTTCTCCACCAGTGAGCAGTCCCTAAGTAAGCTACTACACATGTTGAGAATCATGATAATCTCAGGTCTAAGGATTCAACACCAACACACAATGAGATCACTGATGACACAACACATATGGCTCTTGTAGTGTCTCATGTTGGGTCTATCCAACAACATGTTCACCAACATGTGTCCACACTATTAATTTGGTATCTCTATACCATGATCCATGAGACATGATCATCAATTAATACATGTGCTGATCATATAAACATATTTGTTCCACATATGATATTTGATCAGGGATCCTTTAGAAATAGTAACAAACAACATAAAGAGTCTCTTGAAAGAATCACATATTCATTAACCAATAAAGAGTTATCTATTTCAAGGAACAATGTCGGATAAATATGTAAACATAGTATGTGATACAATCATCTCTATGATTGCCTCTAGGGCATATCATTAACAGTCTAGCACGGTCAGGATGCCATATGACAAGCACTACTACGGAAACCATCTTTCGACCATCAATATAACTAAAATAAATGAGAACTAGCTATGCTTGCAATGTATATTTATTTTAGAATAATTTATTTCCACTTATACTTGGATTTTATTTGACTTTAGGAATTGAGCAAATAAAATAAAGAGAAAATGATAAAACCTCACTCCTAAGCAAGCTTATGGATAAGATGCCACATGTCAGGTATAACCGTCCCGGAAACCGTCATAGGGACCCACATGTCAGCGCCCCGGAGAAGTTTGGAGGCTTGCAGGGCCAGCCCAGGTTCGGCCAAGACGCGTTGAGTGCTCACTCGTCCGTCGACATCGCAATGGAGGATGCAGAGTTCACACCAAGATTGTTGAGTGACTTCGACCTCGACCTCACTGGTGACCAGGAGATGCAAGCCTACCGGATGCTCAAGGACTGGATTTGTTGGAGGTATGTCACGAGGGCCTTTGGCCAATTCTTGAAACCATTAGAGTTATCAAAATGTCGGTTAAGTCCCTTGGGCGAAGCCGTTGGGCAAAGCCGAAGGATGAGGACCACTGGGTTTGCCATCAAGTTTGGGCGAAGCCAGGTAGTGAAGACCGGTGGATTCGCATGTTAGGGAACCTTATGCATCTAGGTGATTGATATTTGAGATATAGTTTAGATGAAGGAAATTCTTGTGTTCTATCTCATGGCAATTGGGGATTTGTTTTTAAAATCAAAAATTCATTTGAAAGCTTAATCCTCATATGACTTTATTCCTACCTACCAAGGTCATACACCAAAATATTAATGATGAACCTTATTAATGTGTATGACTTCCTGTCATTATATTGAGCTTTACCAAATTATTGTGACTCGTGTTAGATCTCTCTCATGCTCTCTCGATCAAGGTTGCACAACCATTATGCTAAGCTTCTACATTGTAAGTTGGCACCATTCCATCCATTTCCGTTACCACTGAAAAAAATATGATGAATAAATTCTCCATCCAATTTATGCCTTCTTCTCCTAGAAAAATCCTTGGAAAAGAAAAAGTAACAGAGGGGAATGCATGGCTATGAAAAATATTGCTCTTTCAAAAATATGGAGCAACATTGAAAAAAAATTAAAAAAAAGAAAGTTTACAAAGGAGAAAATTGGAGAAGAAGGCATATACAAAGGAGAAGCATCTTCTTTATTTCCCATTTTTTCACATATATCATACACTTTCCAGGTGCAATCCTTGATCCGAGAGTATGATCGACTATCTTCTTGAGTCCATTTATTTGGTTTTGCAATATATATATATATATATATATATATATATGATGCAGGTATGTCCCGAAATTATCCCTACCAAACTCCACATAAACGGCCTTCAGATTAGGGAATAATTTTGGCAAAATATGCATTGGTAAGGATCCACAGACATTGCAAAATATTTGAGTGATTGAGGGTAAGTCATTATGAGGAGAAAAGCTGATTTGTGAAAATTTACAAAACCCAAAAGTCTGAGATGGAGTATGAGAAGGACCGGATTCAAGACTGTTGCATTTTTCAATCGCCCAAGATGGTAAGTCGGAGTAATTCCAGAGTTGTTGGTAATCCTCTTCTTATTTCTTTTGCTCTGTTAATTACTCTGATTATAATAGAAATATCTTTTGATTAACTTAGTTTTGCTTCATGAGAATTATCTCTTGGTTAGTTCCTAATTAGCATGCAGGATCATCGTTCACTATAATCCAGTAAAATATAGTGATTGCTTTAGTGTGTAGCTAACATTAAAGTAAGTTATTAACTGCGTAGACACAGTGTCTAGGTAGTTGATTTTCGGTGTTTGCTCCGCATCCCACGGTAGGTGTGAGGTGGGTGTAGAGGTGGTGATAGCCCTCGAGATCACTGAAGTCCTCCCTGTCCGGGTGCGTAATAGAGCGATATCTGGGAGCGGCGAGCTGGCCAGTGCCCGAGCAGTGGTTCTACACGAACCGGGTGACAGTTAACACCTGGGACAGATGCTCCACCACGTTCCTCTCCAAATAATTCCCAATGGGCAAAACTAACGCCCTTCGCGAGAGAATATCAAGTTTCCAGCAGACCAGGGATGAGACGTTTCCCGAAGCGTGGAAACGTCTGCAGGAGTATGGAGCCGCCTGTCCTCATCATGGGATGGATGACTGGCTCATCCTGTAGAGTTTCTACAATGGACTCACTCCCCCGTCCATGGATCACCTGGATGCTACTACTTCGGGTGCTTTCTTCTCAAAGACTGATACGA